GGAAACAGCAGAAGGGAGAGAGAGGGGTGCCACACATTCCCCATTAACAGTGCTAATTGCTCAGTAATGCCTTTGTGTCATTACCAGAAATGTATCTGGGAAAACAGTCAGATGCCCCAGCAGACGCTCATTCTTTGCACAGAGATACTCGCCTGACATTTCAGAACAAATGAGCAATTTCTTCTCGTGCAGGGAAACTTTTCAAGATCAAAAACTGGGCTCTAATTTGGTCGATTGAGAGCTTCATGGGGGAGGGGTTTTAGTGGCTCGGCATCCTTCCTCCCTGCTTCCTCCAGCTTTGGCATCTTCAGATCACAAGTTCTTAGAGGGAGGCAATGTCTTCTAACTCCTTTGAACAACAGCTGCCATTTGTTATATGTTCCTTATCTCTTAATATCTCACAAAAGCCTTGGGAGGGAGGGGGGCCAGAAATGAGTGTCCCTTTTTACAGACGAGAAAACGGAGGCTCAGAGAGTTAAAGTAATGTCTAAGATCAGAACAGTGTTATTGGGCTAGGGAAGCCGGGGCAAATCTATGTGTTGTAGTGAAAAGAACTCTGAACCTGGAGGCAAGGGGTCTGAGTTTCAGTCCTGGTTTTGCCACTTACTCCTACGGTATTGGGTAAGTCAAGCTTGCTTTGTAGGCCTCAGTTTCCCCATCTAGAAACCTGATATATCAAACTACTAGGTGATCTCTAAAATCTCTTTGAACTCTAAATCTTATGATCTAAAGGGCAACAAACCGAAGCTCTGGGCAATATATCCCAAAGTTACCCCAGCCTCTCTTATATTTCGAGGTGCCTGCAGGCAGCACATGAAGGAGAGGCAGAGTATCTGGGCTGATGTTGCAGGCTGGCTCATTAAATTGTGGTTGCACAGCTGATTATACCAGAATGGAGAGAGGAAGAGGAAAGCTCCCCATAGCAGAGCAGAATAGCTCCGGTAGCCAGGGGGCTGGATTTCTTGAGTGGCTTTCTTTTTGGTGATTTGTATTCCTCTGGATCATGGGCTGAGATTTATAGCAAGCTACCTGAGGCTTGGGGCACAGTGACCACTGAAGGGTTTCAGAGGAATAGTAAAAACAATAATAATAAACATCAATCACAACAACTACAATAACAACAATTTTGGCAATGGTAGCATTGAGTTGGAGTCTGGGTGCCTGGATTCAAATCCAGCCTCAGATACTTACTAGTTGAGTGACCTTGGGCAAGTCACTTAACCTTTGCCTGCCTCAGTCTACTCATCTATAAAAGGAGAATTCAACTGCATGGTATAATCCATCTGAGTGGACTCAGAGTCAGAGTACTCATGCTCGAATACTGACTTTGCTGCTTGCCACCCATGAGATTTGGGGAAAGTGACAATCTCTTTGGACCTCAGCTCCCTTCTTTCTAAAATCACTGGGTTGAACTAGAAAACCTCAAAGATTCCTTGTAACTTTAATTTTGTGATACCCACACTACTATCCTTACACAATCATTATATAGTACTTTTCAAGCTTGAAAACACTATGCTTGTATCATCATCATCATCATCATTATTATTATTGTGATAATAGCTCATATTTATGTAGCCCTTTAGGGCTAAAAAAGTGTTCTCCTCACAACAGTTCTTTGAGCTAGAAAGGGAAGAAGAAAAGCATTTGTATAGGGCCTACTATGAGTCAGATTCTGTCCTAAGCACTTTACAGATAATATCTCATTTAATCCTCGCAAGAACCTGAGAGATAGGTGCTGTTATTATCCCTATTTCATTCACAGTTGAGGAAAATGAGGCAGACAGAGGTTAAGTGTCTTGCCCAGGGTCACACAGCTGATAAGTAGCTGTGGCTGGATTTGAACTCAGGTCTTCTTGACTGCAAGGACCAGCGTTCTATCCACTGTGACACCTACGTACTAGATCACATAAACATTCTCATGCCCATTTTATGACTGGCATCTATATAGCACTTTAAGATTGATTGCTATTTTTTTAAATTAGACTTGTAATTTCACTGGTGTAGGGGACCTTTTAGTAGAAATTTCCCCTACCAGTGCAGGCAGTCACATCTGTATAACTAATAATCTTAGAGAAGTGTCTAGGGGGGACAAAGTGACTAACACCAGGTTACACAGACAGTATATGGTCAGATTTCAACCCAGGTCTTCTTGGTGCTGAGGCCAGCTCTCTATCTACTATGCCATGGTGCCTTTTAAGATTTACCATGCATTTTAACTCATACTATAGGTATTATTATCTCCATTTTATACATGAGGAAACTGAGACTCAGAGAGGTTAATCGACTTGCCCATGGTCACACAGCTTGCAAAGTGTCTGAGGAAGGATTTGGATCCAGGTTTTCCTGATTCCAAGTTCAGCACTTTTCCCACTATACAATACTAAGGAAACTGAGGCTTAAAGGTTGAATCACTTGTTCAAAGTGATACAGCTAAGGGAGTAATAAGGAAGGTTCAAAAGAAGAACTCTGACTCAAAGATCAGTACCCTTTCATTACATCATTGCCTCCTATGAATATGTGTGGCTAGGCCACAGACAACAACATTCATTAGAGTACCAGAGCTTTCCCCCTATTGTGGAGTGTTCCTTTATTGAATATCATGGGGTCCTTTCAGTCAAAGATGATCAGTCCATGGTAGACAGATAGATGGCTGCTTAGTGGCAGAATCAGGATTAGAACCCAAGCTTTTGATTCCTGATCCAAGGCTCTTTATATTACACCATACTCTCTCTTCTATGCCAATGTGCCTTCCCAAAGCACCTAGAGTAGTGCAGTGACCACTCAACAAAAGATGGTGGAATGAATGAGGACTGTGGTTTCCCTATGTCACCAAGCTCATGTGCCAGCTTACCCTATCAGACTCTGCTCCGATCTGTTCAATATCTCTCTCACAAGCCTTTCTTATCCCTGCCTTAGGTGCTTGGCAAAGGCTGTTCTCACAAACCAGAATGGATGTCCTTCCTCCTCTTGGTATCATAGAACCTCAAAATGACAGAGCTGGAAGAGATCTTAGCAGTAATCTAGCTCCTCATTCTACATTCAAGAAGACAGGCTAGAAGAAATTAGTTGAGTTACCCATGATTTTGTAGCTACCTAGGTGACAGCCAAGACAATAACCTTACTCCAGTTTCTGTGAAGAGGGAGTGCTATGGAGTATAGGTGTTAAAAGTAGAAGATAGAAAAGATTAGAAGCATTTAGACATTGAAATGTGAATGATATCTAACAATGGCAATTGAAGTCCTGGTATAATCATCCCATCTAACCCTACTCCCCACTCCTGGATCACACCCTTGTCATGGAACAGAGACTCAATGAAACTGTTAGCTATGCCACACAGGGTTACCCAAGACAGACAGGTGATAGTAGAATTCTAAAAAACGGTGACCCACTGAAAATGGAAATGCCATTATAGTATCTTTGCCAAGAAAACCCCATGGACAACATTAAAATGATAAAAGATATGACACAGAAAGATGAGTCCTTTAGGTCGGAAACTGTCCAATACATTATTGGGGAAGAGCAGAGGACAACTATGAGTAGGTCCAGAAAGAATCAAGCAGGTGGGCTAAAGTCAAAAGGAAGCTCAGCCACAGAGCTGTCTGGTGATGAAAGGAAAGTCTGATGTTGTAAAGATCTATATTGCCTAAGAACCTAGAATGTAAGCTCTGTGAACCAAAGTAAGTTAGATGTGGTTAAACAAGGATGGAAGGATTAAATAAACATCAACATCTTGTGTGTCATGAACTCACATGGATGTGAATGGGTGAATTTAATTCAGGTGATCGCTACATACACTACTGAGGGCAAGAATCCCTTAGAAGCAATGGAGTAGCCCTCATAGTCAATAAAAGAGTGAGAAGAGCAGTAGTGGAGTATGATCTCAAAAATGTCCAAATGATATTTGTTTGAATCCAAGTCAACCCATTCAACATCACAGTAATACAAGTCTATGCTCCAACCACTGATGCTGAAGAGGCCAAAGTTGTTCAGTTCTCTGAAGACCAGCAACATCTTTTAGAAATAAAATCCAAGAAAGAAATGTCATATCACATTCATCATAGGGGATTGGAATGCTAAAGTAGGAAATCAAAATGTAATTAGAATAACAGGTAAGTTTGGTCTTAGAGCACAAAATGAAGCAGTGTTGTCAAGATAACTCACTGGATATACTAAACACTTCTTTTAACAACAACCCAAAAGGTGACTCTACAGATGGACATCACCAGATGGTCAATATTGAAATCAGATTGATTACATACTTTGCAGCCAAAGGTGGAGAAGCTTGATACAGTCAATTAAAATAATACCCGGAGCTGACTGTGGCTCTGATCGTGAGCTTAACATTGCAAAATTAAGACTTAAAGAAAGTAAGGAAAACCATCAAACTGTATAAGTATGATTGAAATGCATCCCTTATGAATATGAAGTGGAAGTGATGAATAGATTTAAGGGATTAGATCTAGTAGGTAGAGTGCCTAGAGAACTATGGACAGAGGTTCACAATATTGTACAAAAGACAGAAACAAAAAACAAATCCCAAAGAAAAAGAAGAGCAAGAAAGTAAAATGGCTCTCTGATGAGGCTTCATAAATAGCTGAGGAAAGAGAATGAGAAAGGCAAAAGAAAAAAGGAAAGATATACCCAACTGAATGCAGAGTTCCAGAGAATAGCAAGAAGAGATAAGGTTTTATTTTTTTTTTTAGAAGAAGGTTTTCTTAAATGAGCAATGAGAAGAAATAGAAGAAAACAATAGAATTGATGGAATCCTAATAAAGCTGCCCCCCAGACCCAGTATTCTAACTTTTTTTTGGGCCTCACTGAATAGTAGACATGTTCTGATTTGACCACACAATCTGGCTTTAACCACATCACAGGCCTCCAGACCCAACACCCCTAATATGCCTCATTAGAACAATAGACGTGTCCATGTGATGGAATCATAGCCATTGCCCCAGCCACTGCCCCAGCTAGCTATTGCCCCCAGACCCAATAGTCTTACTTTGTTTTGGGCCTCATAGAAACAGCAGGTGTGTCCATGCACTCAACCACAACCACGTCCATATAATCTCAGACAGGGCCACAATAGCCAGCCATTGAGAAAGCAGCACTTCCAGGATGCCTGAGCAGGATGTGGACCCTAAAACAACAGAAGGGACTTTCCTTAAATAGGCACCTGTGCAGTAATAGCAAAAGCTGTCCTTTAGGTGAACTTATGACATAGAGAGGCTTATTACAATATCATTATCATACATACATGCCCGCCCAGTGGGTTTTTCTGTATACATTGTAGGAAATATCATGTGTAGTTCCACTGAGGCTGGGACTCATCCTCTACTGCCTAATCCCTTGTCAAATCACTCCTGCCTTTTAAATATTCATACATTATTCATATTTTCTATTGTGTAATCAGCATCAAATACCCTATAAAAAATCCCCATCTTGCTCTGATAAGCTGCTGATTCCTTCTTGGAACTCAGCCTGCTTCCTAAGAAGTGTAATTCTCAATAAATATCTTTCCTTGGGTTGGAGATGATCTGAGTCTATGAATTCTTTTGAGATAACACCACAACACATCATGAAACTACAATAGAATGGAAAAGATAAAAGATCTCTTCAAGAAAATTAGAGATATTAAGAGAAAATTTCATGCAAAAATGGGTATGACAAAACACAAAAATGGTAGGAACTTAATGAAAGTAGAAGAAAGTAAGACGAGGTGGCAAGACTATACAGAACAACTATACAGGAAAGATCTAAACATCATTGATAACCACAATGGTGTGGTTACTGATCTAGAGCTAGACATCCTGGAGAATGAAATCAAGTGGGCCTTAGGAAGCATCGTCAACAGTAAGGTGAGTGAAGGTGACAGAATTCCAGTGGAGCTATTTAAAATCCTAAAAGATGATGCTGTTAAAGTGCTGCACTCAATATGCCTGCAAATATGGAAAACTCAACAGTGGCCCCCAGATTGGAAAAGATCAGTTTATATCCCAGTCCTAAAGAACGGCAATGCCAAGGAACATTCTAATTGCTAAACAACTGCATTCATTGCACATGCTGGCAAGGTTATGCTTAAGATTCTGCAATCTAGGCTTCACCAGTATATGAACTGAGAATTACCAGAAGGGCAGGCTGGTTTTCAAAGAGTCAGAGGAACTAAAGACCAAATTGCTAACATTTGCTAGATTATGGAGAAAGCAAGAGAGTTCCAGAAAAACATCTACATCTGCTTTATTGACTATACTAAAGCCTTTGACTGTGTGGATCACAATAACATGTAACAAATTCTTGAAGTTGGGAGTGCTAGATCGTCTTACTCGTCTCCTGAGGAACCTGTATGCAGATCAGGAAGCAATAGTTAGAACTGAACCTGGAACAACTGATTGGTTTAGATTGGGAAAGGAGTATGACAAGGCTGTATATTGTCACCTTATTTATTTAACCTATATGTAGAGTACATCATGTGAAATGCCAGGCTGGATTGCCTGGCAGATTGCCAAGAGAAATATCAACAGTCTCAGATGTATAGACAATATATATTGGTGACAGAAAGTGAAGAAGAACTAAGCCTTTTGATGAGGGTGAAAGAGAAGAGTATAAAGCTGGCTTGAAGTTTAACATAAAAAAAAAATTAAGATACTGGCAACTGGTCCCATCACTTTCTGGCAATTAGAGGGAAAAGAAATGAAAGCAGTATTAGATTTTATATTCTTGGGCTCAAAGATCACTGCAGATGGTGACTGCAGCCATGAAATTAAAAGATACTTGCTCCTTGGAGGGAAAGCTATGATCTGGACAGCATACTAAAAAATAGAGACATCACCTTGCTGACAAAGGTGTGTATAATCAAAGCTATGGTTTTTCCAATGGCAATATATGACTGTGAGAAAAAAGGCCAAGGTCTCCCACTGCATCTTGGGCCATCTCCAATTGTCCTGATCTATATCTGGCCACTGGACCCAGATGGCTCTGGAGGAGAAAGTGAGGCTGATGACTTTGCACAGCCCTCCCTCACTGTAATCCATTTCACTTGCATATCATGGCACCATCTTCCTGATGTCATAGTCCTCTTGGAGAATGAAGGACAAACCACAACCACAATAGCTGTAAAAGTCAGACCATAAAGAAAGCTGAGGGCTTCAGAATCAATGCTTTCAAACTGTGGTGCTGGAGAAGATTTCAAGAGTTCCTTGGACAGCAAGGAAATTAAATCAGTCAATACTTAAAGAAATTAATTCAGGCTATTCATTGGAAAGACAAATACTGAATCTGAAGCTTAAATACTCTGGCCACAAAATGAGAAGACAGGACTCATTGAAAAGACTGGAAAGACTGAAGGCAAAAGGAGGAGATGGCAGTGGATGAGATGGATAGATAGTGTCATGAAAGCAACAAACATGAGCTTGGACAGACTTTGGGAGATAGTGGAGGAAAAAAGGTCCTGGAATGCTGTGATCCATGGGGTCAGGAAGAGTCAGACATGACTAAATTAATGAACAACAAATAGTCCTACTGTACTGAAATCTAGATTCTAGGGGAAACAGGTAACAAACAGTAGGAAATGCCACATGAAGGCTGTAAAAATAACAATATGTCAAGGACCCGGAATGGAAGAAAGATCAATGAAGGAACCATCAGAGTGGAGCTTCCAGACAAGCAGTAATGAAGAAGCAGAAAATTGAAGTGGAGTGAACCCTGAGTTTTTCCCCTTGCTAACACCAGGGTAGTACTATAAGTCATAAGGAATGTATATGTCCCATGAGGGAAGAATGATCTACAGAAAGTGGGGGTGTCTTATGATTCTCTATGGACCCAGAAATATGTCCTCACCCCTATCTTGCACTTTACTCCAGGTAGTATTATGTCATTGGAACACATAAGTCCCTTGGGGGGAAATGGTCCAATGTAAAAGTCCACTTGACTCTCTTGTGTTCAAATGTATATTGTTTCTGTGACCTTTATGGTATAAATAAAATTGTTCTCTATTTTGAAGCTTGTGAGTCTAAGTGCTTTTAAGGGAACTCATGATCACCCTTATTAAAGTTCTCAAGTTCTACCAGTTGGGAAAAACTATATATGTGTGTACATAGATATTCATATTTATAAATAAATTTGTAACATATATATGTATATTTATAAATATCACATATTTATCATATCAAATATAATATAACATGTATTATTTAATATATCAAATAAAATGTTCTGTTATTTATATATCCATTTCTGTCTATATATATATATATCTACAGAATATACATACAAATACAAACATATACATACACATACACATATACATATATATACATATACATATACATATACATGTACATGTACATGTACATGTACATGTACATATACATATACATATACATATACATATACATATACATATACATATACATATACATATACATATACATATACATATACATGTATAATGTACTCAGGCCCTTTGTGTCAAAAGGGAGCCTCTGAAACTAGGGCTATATTGCATTCTTCTAGTTTGCTCATTTATTTATTTAATACATGTCAACTCCCCAGACCATTAATTCATTTATGTTATACAGGACAAAAGTCACATATTCTATTTCTTTCAGTCCCTGACCCAGGGTTCTGCACACCAGACATGCTCAATCAATACTTTTGATTGACTATTCCATAATCCTTTAGTCCATCTCAAAGTCAGTGGATTTGGAACTCAGGGAACTTGTGTCTCATGCAAAAGAAGTTTGGGGATTGGGTGGTGAGAAGTCATTTGTTCTTCACCCTTGAACAATCAGGAATGATTGATTGGCTAGATAGATTTGCTCTTTCCAGGGGACCCAGCTCTCCTTTACCTCCAGGGTCCATTAGGCCACCAATCAAAAGCCTGCTTCATCAAAGCTGCCTGAATTCTGTTGAAATCAAAGATTAAGACTTCCTCAGTTTGACAGGGCCTTTCCAGGTTTGTCACTTTAATTAGCTCTGGCATTTTATCTGGTTTATTTTCATTAGCAGACCAGCCAGAGTCCTGACATTGCAAACTCTCTCCCTGCTCCTTAGGGAAAATTCCAGTCTTTGAGGCCTTGTTCTTACAAGAATCTCATCTTGGCCCTTTCCAGGAAACTGGTTACATTGACGATGTGAAGCAGCCCAGAGATACCAGCCCCAACTCACCACTCTACCCTCTAGGACTTCAGTCCAACAGGAGAAGACTCATTCAAGAATAAGGTCACCATGTGTCTTCTTTCTCTGAACTACAGGACCCCTTGGATCTAGCTACCAGTCTTCTTTCACATGAATGGTGTCATCCATATCTGAGATTAAGACAGGTTATATAATATACTGGAAAGAGTACAGGATTCAGAGGCAGAAGATCTGTGTTTGAATGTTGGCACTTACAAAGTATACTTTGAGAATCCTGAAATCTATATTTAAGTCCTGACTTGGCCAGTTTCTAGCTTTGTCTCATGGAACAAGTCACTTCTCCCTTCTTATCTGTAAAATGGGAATATCAACCTCTCTTACCTCAGTTTTCTAACCTATAAGATAGGGACAATAATTTATTTCACTATCTGCCACATAGGGATATTATGAGAATCACATGAGAAAATAAATGTAAAGTGATTTGGAACTATGAAATACTATATAGATGTGAGCTCTCAAAAAAACTCAAATAAACAAATCAATTCAAATCAAGGGAATGGCCAGAGTCAAGGCCAGCCGCAGGCAAGACTATGATGTATGTGAAACTTGTCTTCTGATCCTTTCTCATTGTTCCCCGAGGAAGGCTCTGCCTCTCCAGGCTGTGGCTGGCCTGGCAAGAGACCAAAACCTCAGAGGATTCAGATCTCATCTGAATTGAAGAACTGGGGAATGACAGGCAAATGTGATTCAGTGTGGGTTGAGAACTGGGGACCCTTCATGGAAAAGAGCCAGAGCTAGATTCCCCAGGCTAACTCTGTGACCTTTTAAGTATCCTTTGTAATTTGTCTAGAGGTGAGAGGGGTCCCTGGAAACTCCACTTTGAGGGCTAGATTATGGGAATTTGCTAAGTCTACTTTGTAGTAGGCTGCTGACTGGATGGGCCTGGTGTGGAGGAAAGATACACTTTCAATCAGAGGTGAGCACCTCCACCTGTACCCTGAGACCTATATACTGATTTTAGGGCTCAAATGTTGAGACATAATAGAAAAGAACACCAAAACCATTTCCACTCCCATTAATAATGTGTGCAGACCATAAGTCTTAAATCTGCCCATTAAGAGCCCAGTTCTCACAATATATGTTTTCTCAAAGAAAAACAAAGCCTCAATAGAAGTGGCCTCCAGTGACCAGTTGGTATGTGTGACACCATGAGGGTATAAGGGGTGGATGAGGGCCTAGAAACTACACCAGGCAAGCCAGGACTTTCCTTTGGTTCAGACCAGAGCACTGTAATTCAATGGGGTGTGTGTGTGTGTGTGTGTGTGTGTGTGTGTGTGTGTCCCTAAATGTTAGACAATCCCAGGTGCCGACATCAGACTGTTCCCTTTAACTCCATGCTGGGGGCTTAGAGGGGAGAGAAGGAGGGGGTAAGGGCTCTCTATTTATAAATCACATTGAGAGAGAAAGACAATATGACACATCAGCTCACGTCAAAGAAACTGTTCTTCCCACCCACCACAGCAGCGATTATCTACCTGGGCTCTTTTTAAAAATATATATATTATTTTATTTTGGCAAAACTTCACAGGATAATACAAGATGGTTCTGTGCCCAGCGGTATATCAGAGAATTGCCCCTAGGGCCTGGGAGTAAAGATGGTGGAGAAGAGAAGAGCTCTGCCCCTTCTACTGTTCCCCCCAATAGTGGTCAACAGTGACCTGAGATTCTGCTGACTTCCCAGAAATATGCCTAGGCTGGTTTGGCTTTTCTGTATCTGCTCTGAGGATCTGAGACTCAGAAACGTTCATCCGTAAGTGATTGTGAACAATTTACAGATTAGGTGGAGAGGGAGAGAGAGAGAAAGAAGACAGGGTGCAAGGGGAGTAGTGCTACAGGCTCTGAGATATCCATTCTGCTCCTTCTAGGCCAGTGTAAGCAACTCTCAGTAGCCCTCAGTCTCTCCTTACCCCTTACCTTTTCTTTCTGTTCTTTTTTCCCTCCTTTCCCACCCTACCTCCCAATTCTCCCAAAGTAGGTAGGTAAGGGTCAGGGGACAAGCAACTCCATCTCTGCCCCACCCCACTCTCAAGACTCTAAGTCACAGATGGGTTTTAATCTATCTCAATGAAAGGTATTTTCCACACTGGAAGTTCCACATAATGATAAAATCACAATTTCCTCCACAATCCATGTGGTCTGGTCATTCCTTCCCCCCCTTCACAAAACTGTGGTTGTTGTAGTCACAGACTTTTAAAATGTGCACAAGAATTATCTCAGAAACTCTGTTTCTGTCTCACAGACCCTACCTATCACCATGTCTTTGTCACACACACACACACACACACACACACACACACACACACACACATACCCCAAATTCAATAGCTATTGACATGACCTTAGGAGCATCAGAGCCTTTGGTCCTTTCCTACAGCAGTGCCAGGGCAAATGCTTTTTCACATTTAAGCTGAGAAATACCAGGTCCTGGCTGCTGCTGTGACCGCAGGAGACACTGCAGGTCCCAGCTGCCTGGTGTGGGGGATGAATCCAGGAACAATGAAAAATTATCTGTTAATTCTTTGCACTCTGTGGCTCCTGCCACCCGATCTGCTCCGAAAAGGCTCCTTAGCCTTCTGTTTAGATGCAAATTCCCTGACTAGTTGTAAGCAAAATATTGATTTCCCTGCATCACAGGCCTTGGCTGTTGGTTCAGTCCTGTGTTTTTTCACTCTCTGGAAAAGCAAAACAAAAGCTTCGTTCTCCCAATTTCCCCTGTAACTGGGGAAGGGGAGGAGAAATCTGAGAACAGTAGTATTGCTATAAATATGAGCTGAACTACTCTCCATTCCAATTTTCATAAATACATAAATACAAACACTGCATTCCTGAAGAAGCTAATGAGCAGTTTGCTGGGATGTGGGGGCAGTGAGTCTCTGAATCCCTACCTCTGGATTGCTAGGGTCTGGAAGTGGAGGAGATCCAGATAGATTCTCTTAACACCTTAGTTGGGCCTTAGAGACATGGGTTACACTCCCAGATACCGAACACACACACACACACACACACACACACACACACACACACACACACACACAGAGCCTTGCCTGGCTTTAAACAGTAAAATGACAGTAGACCTCCTCTCCAGGAGGGAAGACTTCCTTGATTTCAGAGTGTGCTACAGTTGACAACCTTCCGGCAACACGACCACTTCCCTTTAGTTTCTCAATTTCATCCACATCCTTCCTCCAACATGACCTGGCCCCAGGAACATTCCTAATTAAGGACCAAGGCAGAAGTGTGGTCCCTTCCCAGTCATCATGTACCTAGCTAGTCAAATCACATTGTGAACTCAGCTCCAGGCTGTTCTTACACACACACACAGACACAGACACACACACACACACACACACACACACACACACACACACACACGAGAGACAGACAGAGACAGAGACAAAGATAATCAGCACCCTGGACAGAGGTGGGGCCCGGATTGGGTGACGACCAGGAAACCTAGAGAGCCACATTTTTCTCCCGTCCTTGCAGCCCAACTATTTCCCCCTACGATGGGACTGCATACCCAGCTGGGGACTCTGATGGGGTGGTGGGAGGAGGGACACAGAGGGGAGCCTGCACTTCAAAAGGGTCTGCCTGGGGTGGGGGTGGGGTGGGAGATGAAGGGGCTCACAGATGGCGCGTGCAGTTGTTACCGCCAAAAGCTCTCGCCGAGAATCTCTAAGCTCCGGAACGTGAGTCACAGCCCGAGCCACTTTCAATTAGTGTGCTAATTAGAAGTAAAGACCCTCCTCCCCCAACCAGCCCGGGAACAAGCCAACCCGTGGCTTCCGGATGCTACCGCCAAAGAATGACTTTCAACCGCTAGGAAAGGAAGAGGAGACCATGGCTCAAATGCCAGGCACTAGATCTCGCTTCCACTCCGAGAAAATGGATCGTACTCTGCTGAAGAAGAGATTCGCACCACGTCTCATCCATGCCTCTGTCTCTGGACAGAGTGGCTCCTCCCTTAACCCATACCGTCAGACAGCCGCAGAGTGGATCTCACCAGAACTGAGAGATCTATCTCCAGAAAGAGGGGAAGGGGGTAGGTGGATGGAAACGTCCTAGACTCGTTCAGGCTCCCTAGCTGATGCTTCATCTCACACTTCACACTGTAGGGAAGTTCTTCGTTTTGTCTAACCTCAAGTTCTACGGTTATATTTTCGGTCCATTTCAATCTTTATGGTGAAGCTTCCCGAAGATAATGGGAAATGAGGTGCGATTCGATGCCGAGGGAGGGGAACGGACTTGAAAAAGGATGACCCGGTGAAGTGTCGTCTCCCCCCCCACCACCATTTCTCCTGAAACTTTTCCCTCCCGTTGCCATGGAGAGAGACAGCCAATGCCTTCTGTCGCCATAGCAACGAGTGGGTGACGCGACCAGCGGATTGCGGGGCTCTAAAAGCCCCTGAACCCCACTCCCTCCCCTCGGTCCACAGTCCTGGGGTTATGATAGACTTCCCTCTTTATTAAAAAAAAATACCGCAAGTTTAACTAACTTCTTTCGCCCAGCGATCCGAGCCCCTCCCTCAATTCTGCCCTTTTTGAAATCTGGGAACCATGGGTTCCTTTCTCGGCAAGACATGCCCTTAGGATCTCACTAGTCTTGGGCGCAATCTCCCTTTATTTTTTTCTTCTTCAGCCTCCATGGCACCAGGTTTTCCCTCTTTCCAACCCACTCCCCAATGACACGGTACTCGGACCAGGATCTAACCAGACTCTAAACACAGAGGGTGCTGACAAGCGGGAACTGAATTTCTCTATGATGTCTGTATCTCGCTGAGGGGCGGAGACCCCGTAGAGAAGTGGTTAAAAGCCTAGACTGGGAAATGCAAGTGCGGTGACTCGCCTGGGGCTGTTTGGGGGAGGGTCTTCTAGAGGACCCGCCCTGTCCCGCCCCAGCCCGATAGCAGCTAGGGACCTGGAGCAGCTGCAGGGAGCTGGGCGGGACAGGACTAACCCACAGTGCACTAAACAGGGAAGGGGGGAGGGTTCGGGGCATGAGCAGGGTGGGGGGTCCGAGGAGGCGAGGTGCCAGGCGGCGTTGGGAATCCTGGCCTCGCTATGTCAGGGGCAGCCGCCCCCTCAGGGTCTGGACTTGGAGACTTGTAGGAGTTTCGAGCTGCAGCCCCTGGAGCGGAGTCCGAGTTCTGCTGATACAGGTAACTGGGCGACCCTTGGCCCTCCCCACCTCTCCCTGCCACAATTCCTCTTCCTAATCTGGAGCCTCTCTTTCTGATACCCTTCCCTTCCTTAAGAGCAAAGCTTAGATTGAAGAGGGAGGAGCAGACCTTTCTTCCCACCCATTCCCTTAGTGCCGTGCTCTGGATTCGAATCTTGCCAGTGTCAGGAAAAAGGGTGCTGGGGAGTGGAGCTGGTGGTAGCGGAGGAGGTGTCTTTCCTCAGAGTGAGACTCGGAAAGCCCCTAGTGTGGAGCCAGACTCTTGGGGTTTAGTTCGGGGACCCTTTGCAACTCTAGGGAACAGCAGTCCCTTTGTGCCTCAGTTTCCTCCCTTGGTAGGATGGGGAGATTCTCTTCCCACAAAGAGGAGGCAAGATACCCAGGGAAAGGTCAGGGGCAAAGATGACAGACCTTCCCAGTGGCAGAGAGGTTTGTGTCTCGGTATCTATTTCTACATCTCTGTCTCCCGGGAAGTGCAACTAGCCGCCCCCCCTCCCCCTCCCCCGTGTGGTAGCGAGAAACTTGCTTTGACTCTGTCTCGATTTCGGGTTTTGTCTACCAATGCCTGTCTCTGGCTCTATTTCTCCGTCCCTGCGGGGGGGGGGGCGGGGGAAGAGGAGGGGGGAGGGTGTCTCCGCGTCCCCGTCCAACCCCCTACCACCACCACCACCTCTATAACTCGCTCGCGCTCTCTCCGTGACTCACTCGGACTCGGGGCCGGTGCGGGGACTGAGCCGGTGCCTCTCTGACTTTCCGAACTGGGCGCCTTAGTTCCAGTAGCCCCCAGGACCCGACACCCAGAGCCGGCCCCAGAGAGGCTGCGGAGCCAAAGCGGGAACCCGAGCCGGGTGAGTCCCGAGCCCGGAGCCCGGCGCCCGGAGCCCCTACGCTGGGGCCCGGCGCGCGGCCGCAATGGCTCGGCGGAGTCGAGACGGTGGGCAATTGGGCAATCTAGACACCATGGGGGGACTTTGCGATGCCAAAGATTGGGGGTGAAGTACTAGGTCTAGAGTAGGAGGGGGCGTTTACCTGGGTTTCAGAGGACCTGATGAGCTTCCTGCAGTCACCCCCACACCTCAATCTCGCAGTCCTTGGTCTGCAGATGTTGATTCTTTGTCCGGATTCCAACATCTGGTGGGGAGGCACAGCAGGGTAGAAGACTAAAGTGGGGGGACTCGGAGGGGTCGAGGAGATTCGAGATCGGCCCCCCACCTGCGAGTAGCCAAGAACTCTCAGTGGGGAACTGGGGTCGGCTGGGAGGGGGTGGGGAAATTCTACAGAGATGAAAGGGAGACTGGGGTCTGTCTCAGCTCCCTAACCCCCACCTCCCTCTCCTAAGTCCCTGGAGAGATGGGGGTCATTGTAGAGCATTGAGTGAAATCTCTCAAGGCCTTGCCAGCATGAGTGTCTGTCTACACAGTGCTAGTAGGTAGGTGCAAGCCAGTTAGTGGGGCAGGGGGTAAGAGACAGAAGCTGGAATTTAATTTCCACGCTCCCCCATCCCCATCCCCCACCCTTGGAGAAAATGAAGCTAAGAACCTCTAGCCCAGTCCTCGGTAGGGCGACGGTGGGTTTTTACTGTGCTAGCTAGGAGTGGAAACCTGGGCATTTATTTCTTGCCTCTGCTCCTCTGAGTCAAAGGTGAGAAATCCAAAAGGACCCGGCGGCTGAGAGCTGGGATCACTCACTCGGTACTGGGAGGGGGTGCTGCGTCTAAGATTTGGGTCAGCTCAAGCTTAGTTCAGCCCCGATAGGTGGAAGGGGGCGCTGTTCTCCGTATCTGCTGAATCTTTAATTAATGGGTTGATACTGCTGCAGAAGGAACTGTTAGAACTTCTAGACAATAAATAAATTAAAACTGGATGGTCAGACCAGACAATGTATGCTTTTTAGGTAATAGTGATACTGATGGCTATTGTGGTATAGCATCTAGAATCATATACTTAGAATTGGAAAGGACCTTAGAAGACATCTAGCCCAACCTTCTTATTTTGCAGATGAGGAAACTGAGGCCCAGAGAAGTTAAGTGACTTGCCCAAGGTCACATAGGTTGTAAGTGATGGGGGAAGGATTTGAACCCAACTCTTCTCAGTCCTAAGCCTGCTCTCTTTTCACTATATTTCCTCATGTCCTGTCTCTAATCTCTTGGGACCCTGTCCCTTAGAACCCCAGCAATTCCATGTTGCTTGTAGATAGAGTTTGCATGCTGCCCAAAGAGACACCTTGGATGGAGACCCCCATTCCACAAATACATCCTGAAATTATTCCAATTTCCTCCACCAGTTCTACAATATCTCAGTACCTCCCTCCCAATCCTCCAATCGCAGGCTTCCTCTCAAAATCACTCTCCTTTTGAGGCCTGTTCCACAAAGCCACCTGTCATCCTCTGGAACCTTGTTTCCTCTCACTGACCCTCCTCAGAGAGGGGAGGCTGAGGGATGACTGATTTCCATTTTTCTACAGAGGAGAAAGATCAGCCCTCCATATCCACTGAGGGTTGAAGCTGAACTAGCAGCAGCCAGAGGGATGGATGTGAGTTAAAGTTTGCTGACAGTCAGAGGATGGGAGATGAGATGGAGGAATCACTGATGGATCCTTTATGGTAGCTCTGCCCTGGAGGCTTTTAAAGGGAGAGCACCCTGTTGTCTAGATGACTGAGACCTAAACTAATAGGGTGGGTGGGGAGAAGGGCAAATATTTGGGGGAGGTTTTGAAGGTGAATCTGGATTGTTCTCCTGGCTGATTCAGAAAGCAAGTTTGAGTTCTCCCCTTGGGGGTAACTTTAGCTCTGCTGAGTCACTGACAGCCCCAGGCAGAGCTGGGGGACTGAGGGAGGGGGCTTGATTAGGGCATAGCCCTGCAATTTTGATTAGGGCTTAGCTTTCCATCTCAAAATCTCTTCCCACTTCTGATTTTCTCTGGTTCTTTAGGCCTCAGAGTCTGTTTTGGTGTCCATCAGAGAGAACAGATTAGGAAGGACTTGGTAGTAGCTGTTGGTGGTAATGAGTAGAATGTGATTTTTGTTCGTTTGTCTAATGACTCCAGAAATAACTTCTTATTCACCTCCCTGTCTTTGTACTTGGCCCTTTCTAACATAGAGAAGCTTTCCTAGTTGGTGATGGCAAATTGCATGCAAAACAATTTCATTTTTAAAAAAAGAATTTAAAACAATTTCATTTTTAAAGAAAACCTCACATCCCTATTTCCATAACTTTATGACCAGAAGCTCTGTCAGTGTCTTACAGAAAGGCACTTTCAATTTTACCTTCTGGAAGTAGAGACCTCTGTTAGTCCTATTCACATGCCTCATATGGCATGGAGGAGACCCAAGGTTCACAAAGGTGAACACAAACTTTGGCAGATTTTACTAAGCTGAAAAGAATTCTTCAAGTACCACTCTAGTGACAGACTGTCTTTTAAGGACCAGCCAGCCTAAATTCAGACTGGCCATACGATGTGGATTGTTTTTGGCTCCAGCAGCTCTCTAAAACTGTTCATCTGGAGAGGGGCTGTCATCTGCCTCGTAGAGAAACAGCCCAGAATTATGAAATCATAGCTCCTTGAAGAATTAGGAGAAGAGATCCAGTGCCAGGAACCTAGAGAACCTGGAAGAGTGATGTTTCCTCTCCAGAAGGAGCTTTGTTTTCCAGAATCTAGAACCCATAACCTGATAGTGGTGTGTTCTAGAACACGTAGTCTTCTGAGACTAAAAGCTCTGTTCTCCCCATAGAGGTGGTAGAAACTTCGAGACAGGGGTTCTTAACCTTTGTTGTGTCATGAGCATAAAATAAAACATGAACTTACAAAAGCAACCAATTATATTGAAAGTTATTAAAATAATTTTTTTTAAAAAGTCTACAGATGCCAGGTTAAGAACCTCTGCTTTAGCACAAAGGATGTCAGGCTAAGAATGCCCTGTTGTAGAATTAAGTCTTCAATTTCCTTTCTTCTTCCCCATCCACAGAGGGTCAGTTGGGCTGTTTAGAGTTAGGGGTTGGGACAGAACCTTTTGGGGTTGATGTCACATGCCAAGGCGATCACTAAGATATGATCACAGGAGGAGCAGACCCAAAGTTCCATCTGGTCCTGCCTCAGAAAGAGGCAGTCTCTAAGAATTGCATTTTCTTCTGGTTAGGAATTAAATTAAGGAATCTTTGGAGGAGGAAAGGTATGGAGGTCCAATCTTTAGCTCTTGGTTTCCTGATGTACACTTCCACCCTATGACTTAGTGGCTTCTGAAGGTAAATCTTTGCTCAATTTGGTCTTGTCCAGAGACCCAAACGGGCCTCTCTTTTCTCACTGATATCAATTGTAGGTGGAGAGGAACGTTCTTTCGCTGTCTTTCCATGTTTCCTTCTCTTTTGAATAATAGCTAGCATTAGATAGTGTTTTATATGTATTATTTCATTTGATTCTCACAACAAGCTAGTGAGGTAGACGCCATTATTGTCCCCATTTTACAGATGAGGAAACTGAGACGGAAAGATTAAGTGACTTGCCCAAGGTCACACAGCTAGTATATATCTGAGGCAGGATTGAAACTCAGGTCTTCCTGGATCTGGATCTAGTACTCTATTCACTATGCCACCTACCTGCCTCCATATTTCTCTTTCTTTCTTCTTCTTTTTCCTGTCTTTCTTTCCTCCCTCCCTCCTTCCCTTCCTTCCAATTCCTTCCTTCTCTCTGTCCCTCCCTCCCTTTCTGCCTTCCCTTCTTCCTTCCTTTCTTTCTTTCTTCCTTTTTTGCCTTCTCCCCCTCCAGTTTCTCAATCACACTCTTTGCCTGCCCCTCCCTTTGATCCCCAACTTTAGGGCTACAAGAAACGGCTGAGCTGACAGAAAGCTTTTTGTTGCAATCTGCCAAAACAATAATACTAATAATTGCTAAATTACAGCCAGAGCTCTATTAAATATAACTCCTCACATTAGTCTTCTATTTGTCTATGAATCCCCTTAATGATGGTGAGAGCAGGCACGTAGTCATAAAGCTCAGTGTTTCAGTAATTAGCCCACTATTGTCTTCCCTCATCGTGGCTTCTTTGGGGAACCTTCATCCCTTCTCCGTTTGGACTCTGCTAATTATCCCCATTGGTAGCTGGGGCCTGGATCTCTGGAAGAAGTGAAAGAGAGCAAATACTCAACCCCCCAAAACCCTGAAATTTTAATTACACTGGGTTCTCCTAATGAATTTGCAGGCCAAATGGGCCATTTTATTAATGAACTGAATCTGAGAGCCTCAGAAAAAGACAACCCCGTCTTCCCAACCCTGCTGTTCCAAACACTTCTCTTCTGTCCCTTCATATAGGGACTCACACATGTGTGCACACACACATACATACACCCTTGCTTTTCAGAGGTAACCAGGGTTGGCCCACTCTAGAGGACATTTGCCAATTGCCTGGTAGTCTGTGAGCTGATTTTCAGCCTCTTCACTTTCCCAGAGGAGAGAAGGAACTGAAAGTGGACTCACCCAATGAAAGGGCTTCAGGGTTTGGGGTATGGATGTCATCTACCCTGGAAAGATTCTGTAAGCTTCAGGGAATTAATTTTTATTCTCTGACCTCCTCTTGCTCCTAACCTTTAATTCTTGGCTTATCTCTGCCTCCTGGGCTGGCAGAGGGGCACAGCTATACAGTATTGGTCCAAGTTTCTTTTCACTGTGGACCTGAACTGTTCTCTGAAAACATCCAAGATCTCTGTCTTTCTTTGCCTCTTTGTTAGTATCTATGTTTCTGTATCTGCGGGTCCCTGCCTTTTGAGTCTCTGCCTTTCTGTGTCTCATCTATTTCTCTATGTCTCTGGCTATTCTGTCTTTGTCACTCTGTGTCTCAGCTCTGGGCCTGGACCTCCATCTCCAGCTCTGGAGATTTCTGGTCCTTTGCTCACTATCTATATCTAAGTGCTGTCTCTGAGTTGACTTGCATCTCTAGGCATCTCTGTATGTGAGCACTGCTCTTCAGAGGCAGTGTTAACTCTCTCTGTAGTGTTTGAGTGGGGTCTGTCTCTAACAGTCTCCCAGAAGCCCCAGACAGACCCTGATGCCAAGCCCACCCTGCTTCTGGAGTAAGGCAAAGAAAAGGGTTTTCCTTTGCTTCCTCTCCCTGGTTTATTTTTTCAATTACAATCTGTTAGCAGGGATGTCTATTACTGTAACAAAATGGATTTTTCTGACATGGAAGCCAGTTTAGAAAAATGGTAACAATAGCCAGAGATAAGAGCAATGATGAAACTGAAGGCCAAGGGGTGGGGGGGCCAGGGGAGGGATCTGGTGCCCCGTGTCTGGGGAATGAGGTGTCAATATGAGAGATAAGGCTTTGCCTGCTAATTAATGACTGTTGTAATTTCAGAAAGAAGAGAAAGGCCCTAGACATTGTCATTTGAGAGCCGTCACCCTGGTCACGGTGGGATTACTGTAAATGGCAAGGAGATGTTGGCCTGATAGCCTTTGGAGGAATTAGCTGCTTTCCAGGCAAACAGCAGGGAAAGGAGGGGTCCAGCAGATTCTATTGAGGGTCCTGGTATACTGGAAATTCACTAAGTGGAAGGGATATGCTCCACCAGATTTGGAGCCAGAACAGAGCCCAAAACAGTGTCAGCTCACAGAATCATAAAATCAGAGTTGAAAGGTATTTCAGAGATTCTCAGGGCCATCCCCTATGCAGACTACCAGCCACCGGGTCCACAGGGATCACAGCGCCAAGGACAATCACAAAGCTATCTTTCCTACGTCTAAGTTTCTGGCTTAGGTTTGGATGCTCTACTTCCAATCCCTCACTTCGACTTATGAGAAAACTGTGGCCCATAGGGGTAGAGTGACTCATCTAAGGTCATACAGCTAGCTAATGGCAGAACTGGGGCTGGAAGTCTCCTGATTCCTAGGCGAGAACTCTTCCTTCTACCCCTCTGGTCTTGTACTCTAAAGCAAGGACTTCCAGAGCTAGGAGGGAGCTTAGAGGTCATCTAATCCATTCCAACCTGTAGAATTTCTGAAAGCTCAAGCTTCTGGGGTTCCCCTTTCCACCACCACCTCCTAGGTCAGGAAAGCACAAGTTTCCCCAAAGGCCTTATATTATGCTACATAAGATCATAGATTTAGGTCATCTAAAGTCCAACTTCTTCATTTCACAGATGAGGAAACTGAGACCAAGTAGGTTAAATGACTTGCCTGGGTCACATAGGTAATAAACAGCAGAGAAAGGATTCAAAGGAGCCTCCTGATTCCAAATACCAAATCTATCAATTATTTTCTCTTGGGATTCTTCAATAGTCAGGAGTTTGAATAGTTGTTTGAAATACAGTGTGTGTGTGTGTGTGTGTGTGTGTGTGTGTGTGTGTCTGTGTGTGTGTGTCTTACTTATCTCATATCTCCACAGTGGAGGGAGGGTTAATGGAATCTTTCTTGCTTGTGTCCTATAGGTGAGTATGGTTATCAACGAGTTAACTGTAGCAGATCCACTGGGGGGTGGTGTTACCGGTCAGTAGAACTCAGTATACCCTCCTAGTCTCCACTTTGAGCCATCAGTCACCCCAAACCCCTTGTGACCTGGGGCAATGATGTGAAGGCTGGCTGGATTTCAGTTCTGATGCCTTGAAAGGAACTGAATCCATCACCCTGGTCTCTGGGCTATTGAGCTGAGCTAAACAACCCTGCCTGTGGCAGAGATCTGGGAGCTTCAGTCTTTCTCCCTGAAGAAATTCTCCCCCAGAAAGCACCTTCTGGTCAGCATAAAACCAGCATGGAATTTGGGGTTATCATTCCTAACATGCAAACCCCACTTGCTTTGCGTCACAGCCTGGGAGCAGCAGCCTGGATTCATGTGTTTCAGAGAGCATTCAAAATAGCAACTACCCAGATCAATTAATCTGGTTTCAGGTTTTTGTCAGACTGAATATTTAAATGCACTCGGTTCCATAGATTCCCTGCACCTCCCCCCCACCCCATTCACATTAAAATTCTAATTATTACCAGAGAAAAGAAGGCACGATCAAAGGGAAATGAAGTCCTCGAAATACCTTGTATTTTAAGGTGACTCATATTCTTAGGGATTACATCCAGAACAGCTGTAACAGGGAACAGATGTGAAGTATCTAGAAACGCCCAACTACTTAAAATAAGAACATCTTTTTAGCTGATTTTTTCCTTGAATTGTTATCGGATGGGTTTTTGTTTGTGACGCCCAGCGTGGGTTCTAGAAGGGACCAGAAAACCAGTTTTCCAGGCTGTCCTTTGGGGAGGGACCTTTGGGGAGGGACCAATCCCAGTTTCTCTGGAGATCTGCCCCAGCTCGGCCCTCCTCACACAACACCCCCACCCCACCCCTCACCCCCCACCCCCCGAATTTATGGCACATGTGCTGTTGTTTTATCGTTTCTCTTGCCTAATGACTTAGGGTTGTGTAATAGCTGTGTTATGATTGTCTTGGTGCTCTCAATCATAATGACACCATATGTACAAATCTACCTTTACTACTGTCTTCCGAATTGCTCAATGGGTTTTGCAGACTGAAGGCCCTTTGTTAGCCCCAGGCATTCCAGCGGAGGAAGTTTAGGGCTACGAAAGGCTCATTTCAGGTCCCTGGAGCCTCATTTAACTTGTTCCCAGGGAGCCTTAGGTATTCACCTATTGTCTCAGATTCATAGAATCATTAAATATTAGGGCTGAAACGGACCATAGCAATAATCTACTAAAATCTCCTCATCTTAAGGATGAGGAAATGGAGGCCCAGAGTAAGTGTAGATGCTTGCTAGAATTCCAACAAGAACCTTAGGTCAATCCTCTTTGATAAGGCCCCAATGCTCTCTGGAGGTTTGGCTGGGAAAAAATGATACTCAGTTTTCGTCCTCTGTCCCGAGTCTCCTCTAGCCTTTCTGTCCAGGTGTGGTGGGTATGCCTTGGTTTGGATGTTGGGGTGATACAAATGGTTTGGTTAATATTGTCTCTAAGAGATAACCTCCCTTCTCTACCCTACTCTAATCAGCAAGCCCCCTCCTTGGAGAATAGTGCGGGGAGGCTCTTTCAGAGGTGTGATGGGAGGAAGGGAGGGAGGGATTCATCTGGCCTGACTTCATGGGTCAGCAGTAACTCTAGGGTGCTGTCCCAGGCCGCCTGCCATAACATCTAAATGAGAAGGTTTTCCAGTAAGACTCTCAATTATCCCTGTGAATGGAGCCAAGCAACAATACAATTATCTCAAATAGCAGATAATCCCTACTGCCACCACCAAAAAAAAAAAGGGGAGGAAAGGGGGTCTTATCTTTTATTTTATAATATATGCCATACTCTGAAGTAGCACATTTCAACTCAAGTCAATGGCATTAAACCTCTCACATGACCAGCACTAGGCTAGGCATGGTGGGTGACACAGAGGAAGTTTAGTATTCAATTACAGTTTTCAATGAGTCTACATGTTGTTCAAGCTGTTATCAGCTTCTTTTTCATTCCTCGAGAGTATACCAGCTACTAGGGAGACTAAGTAGCCTAGATATATGCCCAGTGGTGGGGGCAATCTAATCTGGGGCAAAAACATTTCTGCGACAATCCGCATGGCGGAAAGTTGACGGTTGGCTGGAAAACCATTTGTTCCTTTGACCTGGCAGCTTTCTCATGACCACTCTTTTCTTTTCTCCTTTCTTTGTCCTCCATGTGTGCTCCCTCCCTGCTTCTCCTGCCAATGCCATTCCTGTCCCCTGTCGCTCCTTACCCCCTTGTCCCCTCTGCCATCTCCTTCCCCCTCTTTTGTCTGTCCCGCCCTGTCCCTGCTGGTAGGCGCCTCCGTCAGCCTCCTTGCTGTCGTAGTTATTGTGTGTGGCGTGGCCCTGGTGGCAGTATTTTTCTTTCTCTTTTGGAAGCTGTGTTGGATACCCTGGAGGAACAAGGAGGCCTCCAGCCCCTCTTCCACTAACCCTACCTTGGCGGCCCCCCAGAGCCCCAGCCCCAGTCCCAGAGACACGATGGCCAACAAGCTGAAGGACCCCAATGCTCTCGGCTTCCTGGAGGCAGCTGTGAAGATCAGCCACACGTCGCCAGACATCCCGGCGGAAGTGCAGATGTCTGTTAAGGAGCACATCATGCGTCACACAAGGCTGCAACGGCAGACCACAGAGCCGGCCTCCTCCACCAGGTAAGAAGTCTGCCCTCTGGCCTCCTATGAACACATACCCCCCCATCTATGTGGAGGTGCAGGGGAAGGAAACAAGCATTTATTAAGCACCTACTATGTGCCTGGCACTGTGCTAAGTGCTTTACAAAGACTATCTCATTTGAAGATGGGACAAAATGATTCTCCTTAGCCACATGTAAATATAAACTTTTGAAAGTGACTTGACTTAAAGACCAGCAGGTTAGCCAAGAGGGCAACATGGTGATTATTGGAGTGGGGACTTCCAAGAAGTGAGAGGGGTCAGTGATGACTCATGGTTGTGTGTGCTTGAAAGTTCCGTCTCTCAAGCCCTACTCTCATCCCACCTTCTCTCACCTCTGTGTCTTTGCATTTGGCCTACCCTAGAACTAGCATGGATCTCAGCTGCCACCCGCAGGTGCCTTCTCCCCATTTCTGCCAGTTGAAAACCTTCCAGTGCTTCAGGGACCAACCCAGGTTCTACCTCCTGCATGAAGGTTCTTCCTCCCAGCTGAAAGGGATCTCTCTTCCTCTTCCAATCTCTCATGGCCATTTGCTATACCTCTTTTATTTGCTTATCATGTTGTTACTTGTATTGTCTTATCTCCCATAGGTTGTGCAGGTTCATTACCACTCAACTGGACGATTGCAATTTCCTCCTAATAAGTCTTCCCCATCTCCCTGTCATGTGCTTCTCCCCCAAGTTCCAGACCATCCTTCACTCCATTGTCAGATTGACCTTCCTTCTGCATAGATCTGCTCTCATTGCTGTGCACAAAAAAAGTCTTCAGTGGTTCACTATTACGTATTAAGTTCAAATATTCATAATATGGCACCTCCTTACCTTTCCAGACTTATCCAATGCTCTTCACCTCTGCATACTCTGTTGTTGTTCAGTCGCATTTGACTCTTGGCGACCCCATGGACTTTTCTTGGCAACGATACTGGAGTAGTTTGCCATTTCCTTCTCCAGCGTGTCCCCATTTTACAGACAAGGAACTAAGGCAAATAGGTGTTTGCCCAGAGTCACACAGCTAACAAGTATCTGAGGCTGTATTTAAACTCAGGTGTCCTGATTCCAGACACCGTGGTCTATGCACTATGGTGCCACCTAGCTGCATACTCTACCTCCAGCCCAACTTGGACTACTCTTACACTGTGTTTTCCTGCTACTGAACCTTTGCTCAAGCTGTTCCTCATGCCTGAATGCCTTCTCTACGCCTCAGTATTTGCATTTGTTTACATTCTCACACAGTGTCTAAGTCCAAATCAAATGTCATCTCTTCCATGGAAAATGCATTTCTATAGGACTTTGTGATTTCCCAAGCATTTTCTCACAATGCCTCTGAGATAGATTGTGCAATGATTATTGTACCCATATTACTGATGAGGAAACAGAAATTTTTACAATCAAGCAGATCCCAAGTGGCCTGGTTCCAAGCACTCTTCTGACACACAACTTTCCTGATTCTGCTCAGTTAGTAATAAATAGCCTTCCTTCCTTGGTCCTCAAAAAAACCATATCTCTTTCACTTCTCTTTTACATTTACGCAGTTTTATACTATTACTAATAGCTAACATTTATATAGCACTTGAATGTTTGCAAAATGCCTTATAGATATTTAAATTTTGTTATATATATAAAATTTTGTCTTCACAACACTGTGAGGTAACTATTATTATCCCCATATACGGAAACTGAGGCCCAAAGTGGTTAAATGAGCTTACCTAGGATCACATTTCTTGTAAAGTGTCTGAGGCAGACTTTAAACTCAGCTTTCCTGACTTCGGATCCAACATTCTAACCACTATGCTATGCTAGCTGCTTCAATTATTTATGAAGAGGTCACATCTCCTTTCTAGACTGTAAATCCCATGAGGGCAGTGCTCATGTCCTATCTAAATTTTGTGCCTCCTCTAGCACCTGACACTGTGCTGTGTATACAGTGAGTGAATAATATGTGCTCATTGATTTTAAATGCATTGAATTAGGAATCCCTAAAAGGCAAAGAACTGTCTTATTTCAACTCTGTATTTACTGTGACCTAGTTCAGTGCCTTGCAAATAATAGGTACTTAAATGTTTGTTGAATGAAGACCTGACCTCTCTTTCCCCTTCCCTGCCTGCTCCCAGGCACACCTCCTTTAAGCGCCACCTGCCCCGGCAGATGCATGTCTCCAGCGTGGACTATGGCAATGACCTGCCCCCCGCCGCGGAGCAGCCTACCAGCATTGGCCGCATTAAGCCTGAACTGTACAAGCAGAAGTCCGTGGACGATGACGAAGGCAAGAACGAAGCTGCCAAGACTTGCGGAAAGATCAACTTCAGCCTGAAGTATGACTATGAGAATGAGACCCTGGTTGTGCGGATCCTGAAGGCCTTTGACCTCCCTGCCAAGGACTTCTGCGGCAGCTCAGACCCCTACGTCAAGATCTACCTCCTGCCTGACCGCAAGTGCAAGCTGCAGACCCGCGTGCATCGCAAGACCTTGAATCCCACCTTTGATGAGAATTTCCACTTCCCCGTTCCTTACGAGGAGCTGGCTGACCGGAAGCTCCATCTCAGTGTCTTCGACTTTGACCGCTTTTCCCGCCATGACATGATTGGGGAGGTCATCTTGGACAATCTCTTTGAGGCCTCTGACCTGTCCCGAGAGACATCGATCTGGAAGGACATTCAGTACGCCACCAGTGTGAGTACTTATCTCTAATTCTGCAGTTTCTTGTGGTGGGGTGGCCGTCTCCCAGAAGCCACGTAGTCCTTTTTTGATGGTCTGTTGGACAACCTCCAGAGCAGGGAGGGGGAAAGAGTGGACATTGGAAACTCTGCCCGTGGGCACCTGGCTAGCTCTGAGAAAGTCATCTGAACTTGTTCCAAGTTGTGGAAATCAAAACAGAGCCAAAAGGTTAGGGCATAGAAAAGGAATTCTAATTCTGGTGCCTCTGTCCTTCTTTTATTGCCTATTCTGAGGCTTCTCTTTACCCACCACGCCTCAGTTTCCCATCTTAAAGCTGAGTGTATATAATTCATGTACCCCAAGGGACAAGAGTAAGAGATGAGGTAAAGTAAACCAGAGAACAATACCCACAGATCACACTGCCTTTTTAAAGTGCTTGGAATAGATAATAAAGAACATTCATGGTCTCTTCTCTTGGTGAGCTCCAAGATCTAATAGGAAAAAGGGACAAATCCAAATGAAGATTCATGGATTACATTTGGAGTAATGGCATGAAAACCTGTGGTAGCTAGTAGACCTGTCAGGAGTTCTATGCATATGGGCTGAGGAGGGGCCAAAGTGATCCCAATGAGTTGAGATTATTCAGAGAAGGCTTCCTGGCACTTGGTCTCAAACCAGGTTTTGAAGGTAAGGAAGGGCATGACTTAATAAAGAGACAGGGGGAAGGAGTTTCAAGTGGGATATTTTTAGCCACAGAGTCACAGGCCTGAGGCTTTAGTCCTAATCCCTGTGGCCTTCAATTGCCTACTTTGCTCAGTCCTGTCCTTTGGTGGCAGATTCTTCTGTGTGGCAGAGAAATGTCCCTGAGTGCCTTTGGCATGGTGTATATTGTATCTTCAGAGCCCTTTGGTGCATACAGGTGGGTGGTGGATGATATATGGTATCATTGGTGTTGCTGGACTCCTTGCTACAGTATAGTGGTATCTAGAGCCAAGTGTCATGGAGAACCTGAATATGCTAACAGGGTGGATGGGGTTCCTTTAGTGGTTGCCAGCCAAGATCCTCCCTTGTCCAATGTCACTCTGGCATCTGGTGCAGAGTAATTCTCTCCACCCTTGCTCCTTCCTCTTTCATGGAAGATATTCAATTAATGCAAGTTGGATTGAATTGCTGAAGTATATTGAATGAAGGTCCTAGGGGACTATAAGCTCCTTGAGGGCAGGGATTCTTTTATTGTTATCTTAATATTCCCAATACAAAGCACAGGACCTGATGTGCAGTTGGTGCCTAATAAATGCTTATTGATTGATTAACTGGGGAACACACTCTAAACGGGTAGGGAAAGGAAAGAATTGTTGGTGAGAGAGAGACAGACAGAGACAGAGACAAAGAGAAAAGACAAAATGGGAAGAAATCAACAAATCTCTAGATGGCCCCAGTTTCTACCCTCGAGAGGCAACACTGGGGCAGCATCTATCTATACACACACACATGTCCACATGCACACTTGTGTGCATACACGTGCACATGCATACACGTGTATACATATATGCACACACATACACACACACCACTTCTGGAGCTAGTGTTGGTGTCAGCTGCCAGTCATGGAGGGAGTGATGTTGCTTGCTTGGAGTGGTCCATTTGCTTTCCCAAAGACCTATGGCTTTCTCCACCCCCAGGGCTCCTGTCTAGCCATACGTGGCTTCCCAACAACCCTACTCCTCCTGCCTTCCCAACATTGCATCCCCAACAGCACAGGCAGCAGGACAAGGACGGCAAGGAAAAAGGAACAGCAGATTCAGAGTCAGCCCAGAGCCTAGGAGCTCTTGTCTATAAATCATTCGGAAGTTTACATCTGTTTCTGTTCTTGTTTCTCAGTCTCCCAAGGGACAGAATCCATTATGGTGACTATATATGTCCTGGAGAGAAACTCTGTCCCCACCTTCTATTTACACACAGTGCAGGGGAATGCTCAGGGCAGAGGAACGAAGAGGAGGCAACAGGCATCTGTCCCAGCAGAGGGGCAGGAGGTGAGGTGGGCACAAGGACAGAATGAGGAGGCTAGGAGGCCAGCCACTCATGTTGCAAGCAATACCGAGGCTGCAGGTTCCCAACCCTGGCCACCCTTTTTCTGCTTCTACTTCAGGAAGGAGACTTGGGAGAGGAAGAGGATCTCAGTCAGACCTGCAGTGGACAGAGAACTAAACTTGGAGGACCATTAGGTCCCTGCTCTGTTACTAACTTAGCTAGGTGATCTTGAGCAAGAATCATCATCATTTTAAGCCTCTGTTTCTTCATCTGCAAAATATGCAGTAGTTTCAGTCATATTCAACTCTTCGTGACCCCATTTGGGGTTTTCTTGGCAAAGATACTGAAGTGGTTTGCCATTTCCTTCTCCAGCTCATTTTACAGATAGGGAAATTGAGGCAAAGACAGTCAAATGACTTGCCCAGGGTCATGTAGCCAGTCTGAGGCTGGATTTCAACCCAGGTCTTCTGACTCCAGGCCCAGGGCTCTAGCCACAGTGCCACCTACCTGCAAAATGACATTGTTAGAATAAATGATCTCTGAGATCCCTTCCAGTTCTAACATTCTGTGATTCTGACTTCAAAAACAAATAGATCTTGGTCTAAGAGCCTAGCCACATCACCAGGAAGTCGGGCCCACATAAGAAGCCTTTCTAATTTGGAAGGATCAGCCAGAGCTTACGCTTCCAAGAATGCAGGGTTATAGCCACACCCTGATAAGACACCAGGAGCATAGGATCAGCAGCCTTGAGCTGAAATGGACCAGACAGGTCACGTGGTCAGCAGGGATGACACAAACTTAAGCCTTCTCAGTCTCTGAGAAATCACCCTACTCCGAGGAGTCCTACTCAGGACACGGGAGGTGCTTGTCTGTTTACAGGATGGGTGGGATGACACAGCTCAGTGGTTCGGGGAGTAGAGCTCTTCACCTGGAGTCAGAAAGACCTGAGTTCAAATCCAGCCTTAGATACTTCCTAGCTGTATGACCCTGGGCAAGTTACTTAACCTCTGCCTCAGCTTCCTCATCTGTAAAATGAGGGTATTAACAGCACCTACTTCTCAGAGGTGTTGTGAGGATCAAAGGAGATTGTAATTATAAAGCACTTAGGACAGTACCTGGCACATAGTAGGTGCTATATAAATGTTAGCTATTATTATTATTATTGTAGTTCTTAACCTTAACTCTGCTAAGGAGTTTGTAGATAGATTTTAGTGGATCTGTGGACTTGGATGGGAAAACAATTACATCTTTAGTTCACTACACTTTGCTTTTGGCATTTAAAAATAATTATTCTGAGACAGGGTTCATAGACTTCACCAAACTGCCCTAGGGGTTTACAAGACAAAAAAGGTTTTGAGCCCCTATCTTGAAGGCATGATTCTGCTTTACAGTCAGGTCCCTGAGTCTCCTCTGGGCCTGCCCTGTGAGGGGTGATTCCCCAGATTTGTTACACTTCCTTGAATGCTGGCCAGTTTCACTGTTCTGAAGTGAGCCTGGCAGAATGAGGGTGCTTCTTCCAAGAACAGATCATCCTGCCTTCCTTAAGATACATTCCCTGCCACTTTGGGGGGAAGAAAGAGGGAGGAGGGCACAGAGGGCAAGCAGGCTTTTTGGTTTGTGCTGATTCTAGAAATCCCAGTTTTCTCCTGGCCCTGAAGGCCCAAGTCAGCCTATCTATAGGATTGATAGATGGAGTACCCAAAGAACTAGAGTGGTTACTGAGGGGATGGATAGAGATGAAGGACCTGCCTGTGGTGTCTCTCCACTCCCATTCATCCTGTGGCACATGCCACCTGATTATTAATCTTCCTAAAGTATCGTTTTCATCATCTCACTTCCTACTTAGAACTCCAGTGCCTTCAGGATGAAGCCCAAACTACTCAGCCTTCCACAGTGTTGTAAGCCCAGGCTATACATCCAACCTAATCTTGATGAAACCCTTTGCTCCACTCAGGCTGGTCCAGTCCACCAAGCTCACTCTGCTCATACCCATTTCTAGGCCTTATCTAATACTGTTCCCCTTACCTAGAATGGCCTTCTTTTTCCCCTCTGCCTCTCCCTTGAGGCCGTCTTACTGCTATTCTCTCCCATCACCCCCTTCTCTAGATATATCGTCTACATCAAAGGTGTCAAGCATACAGCCCTCTGCCACATTATGGGGCCCTGCAGTACTCCTGAGTGTGGCCTCAGATTAATCAGACCGTATTAAAATCTAATTAGAAAATATTTAACAAGATAAATAAAAATACAATAAAATATAATGTCAGTATGTGGTTTTCTAAATAAGTATGTGGCCTGCAGAGATCCTCATGGACAGTTTAGTGACCTTGTTTCTATTTGAGTTTGACGTCACTGGTCTATATCACTCTTTTTTAGTCAAATAATCATATCCTGCCTGATACAACATTCTAATTAATTTACTTGTGTCTTATTGTTCCAACAAAACTGGGACATTCCCAAAAGATCATGTCCTATGTAGAATCTTATTTTCCCTGTTACTGCCTCACATAGTTCTCTCTCTCTCTCTCAACATAATTGATGCTCAGTAACATTAGAGGTTGGTGCTTTTATTAGAATAGAGTACTCCCAAAGAGTAAATTCCCTCTACCACTGCTGATCATTGCCTTATGGTCCTAGAGAGGTGCCTAGAGCTGTAGGAGGTTGTCACTTGCTCAGGGCCCCCAGCCAATGTATGTCAAGATAGGATGTGAGCTCCATCTTTCTGACACTGAGGCCAGCTCTATAGCTACCAGACCATACTATTTCTCATTCTGGAGAAGGCTCCACAGCAATAGCTTACATTAGATACCACTTCCTAGTTTCTAAGGCACATTCCTCAAATAGGAATGAAGTACAAGTATGATTATTCCCACTTTCAGATGAGAAAACAAACTCAGAAAGGTGAAGTGACTTGCAAAGACCCCCAGCTAGTAAGGGTCATTGGAGTCAAGACTCGAACCTACATCTTCACACTTTAATTCCAG